TAGGTTTAGCTGTCAATAGTAAACCAGTTAATAAATATAGTGGTCCCTACCTCCCTTCCTTCCTCCCTCCCACTCGGTTTCTCACTCACGCACTCACTCACTCACTCATTCACTCACTCACACTCACTCACTCACTCACTCACTCACTCACTCACTCACTCACTCACTCACTCACTCACTCATTCACTCACTCATTCACTCACTCACCCACTCACTCACTCACTCACTCACTCACGCACGCACTCACTCACACTCGCTCACTCACCCATCCAAAACCCACCCAACCCCACCCACTCACTCACTCACTCACTCACTCACTCACTCACTCACTCACTCACTCACTCACTCACTCACTCACTCACTCACTCACTCACTCACTCACTCACTCACTCACTCACTCACTCACTCACTCGCTCATTCACACACTCACTCACTTTCACACGCTCATAGACTCACAATCTCCTCATCCTCTCTCCCACTTTCCGCTCTCTCCTACCCGTCTATCCATGTTGGTAATTGCTCTACAGCTATCATTCTTGTAACCTTCCTACCTTACCTCTTTTTTGTGTATATTCAGATTTTGGACAAGGTCACAGCATATATTTATCGTATGTGACAGTGCTGTGTCCCAACAAAGTGCCTGCAGGTTTAGTTACCATGGCGACGCATAGCAATAATAGCTATAAATCACCCGAATGACTTGGTAGAGACAAATCTAGAGCGGTCTGCTACGCAAAACTCACTATGAACCTTGAAAAGTCCCTACACGAAGAGTAGGCAACTAGGTAGCACATTGGCGTCAATAATCAGAATGAGCGTCGCCAGGGGTCGTTGAATGGGACTTACCGAGACCTTGATATCAGATCATTATAGCCAAAGCGCAAGGAGGACACGCTTTTATCATGAAACTGTCTACGGGTATACCAACATCCCCGTGGTAGAATGCGCAGATTTACTCATTGACTGACTAATCAGACGGACCAACGCATTGTTTGATAGCGGATACGGTAGCACTTTCTAACGTGTTGGTTTGCAATAACTGCGTAAACGCAGGGGTTTGCATTTATAACAAGCATATAGACACCTAAAATAGTTACACCTCGCTATGTGCTGTATGCGATTGCACGTTTCCATGACATCAGCCATGACCTTCCTATAATAACAGCAATAATAGACAAAGCGCCAAATTTCAAATATGAGAACGGCAGGGCGGTAACTTGATCATTGATAACAGGCGAATTCTTGCTCGTCTTTATTCTTTAGCAAATAAAGTATCGTGATGCAGGTGGGCGTCTCTTCATAAACGCTCGTTTTTATTTCATATATCAATAAAATGTCCAAATGCTGCTGTATAATAATACGAGTGCAAACTCGTTTCATTATTCTACGTGATTTGAATAATAACTGGCCCATGTCGATGTAATCGCGACAATACCTAGTGCGCCCATGTAGAAATATTTATATATATATATATATATAATCCCATTGGCGATCATACGTAGGCTACGTTGTTTATCTCCCATTCCGTTAGCTTGCAAATATTTAAGGAATGCGCAATGTTCAATTCATACGGCACCCCACCCGGATTTTAATCCCCGTTAGTGTTTTACTGCTCCGTTCTTGATTTTCATCGTCTTTCACATTACTCGTACCGCACCGGTTCGTCCGTCCGCAATCCTGTATAGATTCTCCGATACATACGTCAGTTAATCAGTGACGTCACGTTCGTCGTGACTGCGGCATTAGTGATTCTCACGGTATTCTCTTATTTCTCACTTGGTTAATTATCGTGGATACCGATGCTATAAAAAAGTACGGCAGCATTGTAATCGCTCTTGCGGCGATATATTATGCGCTTGCTTACGGAACCGTTGCCGACTTTCTGTTGTCGTCTAGCTCACTCTACATGCGCAATCGGCTCGCGTAGGATTATTAAAATCCCCGTATATCTTGCCCCGTCACGCCGTTGTCGCAGTTCCCACATACTTTCACCTACAGGTAGGCCCTAAGGTTGTTCACCATGGGTTCCCCCAACCGTCTATTATCTATTTGTTCAGCGGGTGTCCTTTTTTACATCTAAGCGATAGCAACTGGAAGCCAGTGCATGGGTTCGTCTGGGAGCGTCTTCAGAGATTTCTTGAATAACGATTGGGAATTCATTGGTTATATTCTCACGCGTAATCGCTGACATCCTGTAGAGCTTCGGGTAAATAATGAGCAGGATCCAGCTTTACCACTCGGTCTGGTAGATTATGACTCATACATAATGTAGAGAAGCGCCTGCTCCGTTACGCATCGCTAGTATTTATCTTGATTTTACGACGAGAAAGGTTACAAAAACGCTACCTATAAGATCGAGATGAACGCAAGAGATAATTCTTGCTCACAACAGCTTACGTTATTTAGCAACATCTATCAGTTTCATTTGGAAGGAAAAGCTCCCGTGTGAAGTTTCGAATGCTATAGACACTCATAACCTACTTTTTCAATGTAATTATAGTCTATATATGTGGTTGCTTTTAATCCAACGTGTCGGCGCTTTAGTTCTGCCAAAGTGAGCGTATATGTTGTCAATTTACGCGCTCGTGTGTCGCCTGCATCGTGATTTACACTAAGTCTTGTTTAGTGGAATAAAGCTAGTATTCTTTTCAGACAACCGAGAGAGAAAAAAACGGGTGTCATTTTGACTGATTTCGAAAATGAAATGTGTGGCACGATACCGACAGGTGTTAATACGCTGGAAACCCGCTTGCTTGTATCGACGGTACGCTAACTGTCCCCTCTACCTGTCGTCAGCGTACTCACCCGTGCGCATGTGCATCGACAATCAATACACCATATACCACCATATATGCGGCATGACCTGCCTTGAAGTTAGCTCTAGTACTATAGCCCGCGGATCGCTGCGGCAGCGATCCGCGGGCTATAGTACTAGAGCTACCTTGAAGTATGACGTAGGCCTACGCTGGTAGAGCTCTATGGCACTAGACAAGATTCTAGCACAACAAAAATAATTACCGTGAATTAGGGCCAGTCTCGCTCGGACCGAAGTATTCGAGGCGCGAGATTATTCGCTATTTTACAATTTAATCGGCGTATTTAACCTCTACGCCGTCTGGTTCAAAAACAGCACGCGTACCATAGCAATTTAAGTGTATTCATCCGATGACGTAATGCAAAGTAGGCGCTATTCATGGGGTACAGCGAATCAGGCAGGAGTCCGTGCATGCAGGTGGGCCGACATAACCGGCTTTTATAATTATATTAAATTCAAACTTGGCATGATAACGCCTCGTAATCGTGAAGGGCATGCGCATACTAGTTGACTTTACATAGGATTAGTATTCAGCGACAACGAGCCTACACGCACGGGTGTTTTACTCGAGAATTCGTTGAATACCCTTATATGTTTGCAATGAAAACTAAGAGAAGTGCTAAATGGTTGTGACACGCAATAAGAAGCGAACGATATCGCACCTGTATGTCACGTGACCCAGTCTCACCTGTCGAAACAATTTCACGTATCATTCCAGCGAGTAAGAATTCCGACGGGTTTTGTTCTATTCACAACTATTCACAACACCGATCATAGACAGCGATTATGGGTGTTTTTTTCGCATTTTCCGTAGAGCTGCAACAAATTTTTTTCTAACTGCTAGTATTCCACACCTGGACACGAGCGTCATTTTACGATGGCGATATACAAAAGAAAACTTGAATTAGTAATGTGAATTCATCACTGATAATCCGGCTGATGTGAAATACACGTATAAGCGTAAGCGTTTGATGTTGTGTTACATCATCGTATATCCACAAAACGTTTAACCCCGTGAATATATAGTTTGCTATTTGTAAAACATTGATAATGCATTTGCAAGCCATAAAACGCACAAACAATTCTAAACCAACGAGGCAATGTCTATAACTTATAAATGCCACTAACATTATTTGTAATATCTGAATCCTATATCTTTACAATTAACTCGTCTTCAAAGAAACAATATATAGAGCGGTTATTAATTATAACATTACCCAGTTAACATAAAATCGATATATTTTTCCCCATTAGAGATCATTATAATTGAAAAGAACGTATCTCATGAACAAAATACTACTGGATGTAACTGTAAGGTCGTTTAAGACACGATGAGCAAAGTTTGTCATTGGCAGGTGGCACCTCTGCGGTGTCTGAAGTAATTAAGCACGCCGGTGAGCTAATGGGAATTTAATGCATTGCAAGGCTATTCCATTCTGAAAGCTCCTCGAAACATACTTGGCAATTAGACTAACGTCCATGCTGCGTACATCGCCGCGCCATTTTTATTCGCGCATCTCCGAATTTTACGATGAGGGCAGGGCAAGTATATAGTCGTCATAATCTTTGCGCACTAAACTCGCGATATAATTTATGTTATTGGCTTGGCGCGTACGAGCATGCGAGTATGTGTTCATGGCGTACGTTGTAAACCGTGACGCGGGGGGGGGGATCGACTAGCGCTGACCCGCTTTTATATACACAGCCGCCCTGAATGAAAGTTTCCAGCCAGCCCTATCGAAATTAAATCTCATACTTTCTATTTTTCGTAACGAATAGAAACTGGGTCCGGTTTTGCTGTCGTTGAAAGGGTAGGCGAGCTCTAATACCGCCAATAACGCATTGTCGTTACCACTCGATCGTTAACAAGGAGCGAACCACACATAACTAGAGCATGGCGTTATATCTTATAAGTTTAACCGCATCAAACCCGGATTCAGAGGAAATGTTTGCTTCACCCCGCTTTCGCTGTTAACGCAGAATCTAGAAGCTCAGCCTTGACAAGCACAGTCTTGTTAAGCCTAATTAAGCCTAATTAAGCCTATTGACACCTATTATTTCTTGCTGTTCTTTTTGTTATTGCATATAGGCTTCATTCGCTTTCTTCAGATATTATTGGTTTATACACAGAGCGCGGTTCAAATCAATAAAGTGTATCCCGATAATTGCATAGAAAATCTGTTACCTTTGATCTAGACGTGGCTTCAGCGCAGGCGGCAAATTCTCCTGTTTACTAGAATGTGTCGGCGTCATCCATCTACTAATGTCACGCGAAGATGTCCTGGTTGTCATTCAGATACACAGACAGCAGGAGAGAGCGGGCGTGTGCCACCTCCAGTACCCCCTTTCCTACAGTCCCAACTGCATCTTCGGTATGTAACGCACCGATTAACGCAGAGAACCAGCGTAGAAGAACTGGCGAATCTTAACCCTGTGGTGAGCCCACGGGCGGATCGTCTGCTTGCTGCTTAATCACGCATACACAAAAGGTATATAGTTGCGCGCGTCTAACGGCCTTGCCGCACCGCGATAAAAAATCTAGAGATGCGTCCTTGAATGCCTGCATCGGCTCAAGACGCCCCGCCGCTCTCTGCGAAGCTGCGACTGACTGTGAGCACGTATACCGCTAGCTGGCGTGTTAGCGCGTGTGTTCGGGGGACCCGTATATACTGGAGTCGCCCCGCGCGTCGCGCCTGCGTGGGTTTGTAGGTGACTGCGGTTGTTTTCTCGTCGGCCGGTTAATGTACGGCCGCATTAACGCAGTAACATTACTTGCGTCGACTATTCGCCGTATGGCGAAAATGCGCGCGTCTGCGGCAAGTCGGTCGGAATTCGCTCTCGTTAAACTTGCGGCAACGTATGTTTTTCCTTTTACGGGAAAATAAGGCGGCGGCGGCGGCGGTAGCAGCGGCTATACAGGTTGCACGAAGGCAGTCGGGTGTCTCGGAAAGAAACACTCTACATGATTACACATATAATCACGCGCATGTTCGCGACTGATGCGCGTTTCCTTTCAGTTGTCAAAGATGCGTTTTATGGTCGTAAAAGATACGTATTCGCGTAACGATGAGGTAGAGTCGTCAGCCTGTGGCAACACATGGACATCACTCTAACAGCGCTTCCCAAATGTTAACGCGGCCGCTATATGAAGCGACTTAATACTGTAGTTGATCGGCAATAAGCACAGCAGATCGATGGAGCTGTTTTCCCGTAAGGTTTTGGTGGTTACTGGCTCATGCAGTGAAAAGGCTTACGGTATTTCGGTCACTGATAATGTCGGTTTACCCAATATGTCGTTGCATGCGTTTCCTACGTTCGCTCTTCAACAGATAAATAGGCTACCGTTTTATTTTTTTCTTACCGGTGGTCACTCTGCATGGTTTAAGTTGGTTTACTTACAAGCAATGCTTCAGAAATTGCTTTTTGTTGTTGGCACTGGCTCGCAACTAATATGTAATTATGTTCCATGTATGCCCTCTGGGCGAAGCGCATTTCTTTCCGCGTAAGGAATAATCGTGCTTAGAGTCATTCACGCGGGTTCTCTATATAATACAGACTAAATATCGGCCTGTGTTGTTGGAATGCTTTCACTAGTAACCATGGCATCAGCCGCACGTCGTCAAAACACCGTTCGGCAGGAACCTCCCCGACACAACGCATGGTAGGTATCCGTGGAGCTGTGCATCATATATTGTCGCTACACTGTTAAACCCGTAATTCAGATGTTTCTTGACAGCTATTGTCAGTAACTAGAATGGGTTAGGCCGTTAGGGAAAGAACTAGAATGGGGCACGATTTCACTTCCGATATGATAGTTATTCAGAAACCAGCTACACCGTATGTGTGACAATCGTTTCAATTATCTGGACATGCTATAGAGAACGTCAGGCAGGCCAGTAGGTAAACTCTCACTGACCGCGGGAACTGACGCGAATCTATAGGCTTAACCCAGGAAAGATACGCGTTGCAAATGCATGTAAAGTTACGGTGTAGACCAACGGAGACGGCCAGTCCGTATGGTATATCGTTCATGGTGACACGACGTCGCCATGGCAATCGCTCGGAGGACAGCTCGGAGGATCGCTCGGAGGAAAGTGTATAGAAGTCTCGTGTAGCCTAACCGGGGTGGGGTGGTCTAGCTGCTGTCGCCCTATGTGATCAGTGATCCGTACAGCCGGCGCCCCACCTTCAAACTCCAAGGGCAGATCTACTGGTCTTGTGTAAACTTGGAGAACACGTTGTCTCGCCTTTTCTTTTAACGGGTTTAGCGTTCGTATTTCTCCATTATTTATTAGGTTCTGTGTAAACTGTTCTATTTCTCTTCATTTTAGCGTTATAAAACTATAGGCGTAAAGTACCGTGCTGTACTGAGCCTAAAGGCGTCTTGGTAGGTTTGTTCTGTGGTTTAATCTCTCTTCTCGACTTGTTATATTGCCTCGATGTACAACACGCGGTTACTGCTCAGCAAATGTTCTCGGCAGATTAGGAATAGGCGTATTTCCATCTGGGCAAGCTCCTCTTCGCGAAACATTGGTAATTTTTGGGAGATACAATAATTTTATCGAACAATTCGAAACTGATAGGCACAACACACATGTCAATCATTTACACCAATTATCACCTACCCTCAGAAATAAATCGCACTTTGGTATGCACTCGATGACTGTCGCGAGTCAATAACAAAGATCGAAGTGAAAATGTCAGTATGTATAATATGTTAGTACAATTCCTTGTAATTACTAACTTATTTTATATCATCGTCTATCACGCAACATGATCTTCAAGGCTGCTTCCAGTCGCTGCGCAGTAACTATTTCCAAACTACTTTTAATTAACTGACACGTCAAACACTCAACTTAGGAAGAGAGACAAAATCCTCGCTTCTATATTATATATTATGACAATACGTTTTTACTGCGGATTAAGCGCGGTTATGCAATAGGCGTACTGGTACCGAGTCATGTGCTCTATCTGGCAGCATCTCTGGAGCTCTACTTATCGCATGGAGTTTAGTATGAGGAATGTGTTGAACTTCTGGATAAAATGTGCGCACCTGCTAGTGCGGTGCCGACACAATTAGCTGATCAAACATTGGCGGGGTATAAGATGAAAAGCATCGCAAGCGTCATTTATGAAGTACCATATTGATGCTTAATCCTGAATAATTATTCACAAGACGCATGTCGGATTGTCAGCCTTGAAGCGTACAGCGAGTACCTGAGCATATAGCAAGATAACTGCAGCTAAGAAGTAGAAAGTGACCTAAATAAGCCGCTATACGCTATACGCGATCTACCTGTTATACCATATATATATATATATGTGTGTGTGTGTATGTGTGCGTTCGTGCGTGCGCGCGCGCGCGCGCGCGTGTGTGTGTGTGTGTGTGTGTGTGTGTGTGTGTGTGTGAATGTGTGTGTGTGTGTGTGTGTG